AGCCTCCCCCACAAAATATGTTTCATCGCCCAAAACGTTCTACCTTTAAACTATTAAAATCCATCACCTTCTTCTCTGACCACACCTGCCATCTGTCCAGCTCATTTATATTGTTCTGTTCCACAGTTTCTTGACACCCTTCAGCTTCTAGTCCCACATCCTTCCATTTGCTCCCAGTCTTCAACTCCTTGCTATCACTGAGTAGTGATGGAGAAACTGTCACTTATTTGCCCAGTTTTTTCCTCTAGAAATTTATGGTCTGGAACTTACACTTGTAAAGCTGCCTGACATTTCTTCTCCATAGTTCACTTTTCTCCTCAACTGCTCTTTCAAAACTTTACTCTCCCTAATTCCAAACCCATTCTTTTTTTGGAATTACCTAGTGACTTTATCTCTTTTCTCATGAAAGTTAAGTGAAAAGGCCTACAAAGGGGGAAATTGTTAGACTTTCTACCTTTCTTACAGGTGTTTATGTTCCCTAACTGGTGTGGAGGAAATCCAAAGTTCCCATGTGCCAAGTGAGATGTGAAGATTGGCTGAGAGAGCCAGCAGGGGTTCAGGGGATGAGGGGACACAGAACTGGTTACTGTTCCAACCACAGTCAGATACCTGAGGACAACATGGCTGCAACTCAGAGAAATCAGTTGGGCCAAAGATCCAGGCAGTGTTCCAGTAAAACCACAGACTAGTCATCATTGAAGAAACACTGAAAACCATTTGTGTCAAGGGATACAAGGGCTGAACATTGTCCTCTCAGACCAGTTGGTTTCCTCACCCCTTGCTTGCTTTCTGCCAGGACAAAATTCCTGTTGCTGCTAAATGTGAGGAGATGAAGGATTGCCTGATGATGTGTCACAATGACACTGTAAGCAAGGATACTGATAAGCATATCTTTGGCCGTAATGGGAAAATGAGCCCTGGATGAGGGCCAAGCAATTATTATGGATTTGTTTATTAAGGGAAGAATGAAAATGTAATACTTCATATATGGGGGGGGGAGCTATCATTTCCCCCCTTTCACTCATTATTACATGGTGACATCTTTCTATGCACATAAATATAGATCTACATCATTATTTTTAATTATTATATTGCATACTGTTATGCATGTCAATTATGTTTTAAGAAATAACTACTCCTTCATTGATAGATACCTTGCTTTATCCATGTCTCTCTTATTACAAATGATGCTGTGATGAACAACCTAGGACACATATCTCTTTTTGTATGGTTGATGTGTTTAAGTGGAATTTGTGCATTTTCACACTGGTAGTCATATGAATTTTTTGTTAAATGCACATATTCATGTGAATAATTTAGAACTTTATTTCCTCATGGTTCAACATCATCTCTATTATAAGCCCCCATTTTCACTGGATTACAGAAAATGTTGCCTAGTCAATTTCAGGTTCAATCAGTTCAATAAACTAACCTCACACTTGGTTGATGCAGGTTAAAAATTCAGCTTTGTGGAGGTTTACATTTTCTGCTCTGGTTTACTCACACCATATTCTCTCCAGAGTCAGTTCTAACTTCCAGGGGCATTTTGTAACTGCCACCAGACTTAGAGAGGGGAGCCTCTTGCTCTGGCTCTGAGTTGGGTCTGCACTGGCATTCTCTCCAGATATGACATTTTTTTGGCAAGGGGGAGATTTAGAGAGAAAGAGAGAGAGCACGCATTTGGGTGAGCAGGGGAAGGGCAGAGAGAGAATTCCAAGCAGGCTCCATGCTGTCAGCAGCAGGAATTTTGTCCTGTCAGAAAGTGAGCAGGGGGTGAGGGGACCAACTAACTGGTCTGAGAGGACAGTGTTCAGCCTTAATGATGGCCCTACCCATAACTGTCGAATTCAAAATAGTGGATCTTGCAGCCTACCCCTAAATTCCTTTCTTGGATATTTTTCCTTTTCGCTTTCAATGTTCTGCTTGGGTGGCCTTATTTACAACATGTCTTAGGTAGACATCCCCAAAAAGAGACCATGAGAAGAGAATTTACTTGTGTGCAAGTGGTTTCCAAGGTAGGGAAGTAGGCCAGGGAATGGGAACAAAGCATGCAAAGGTACAGTTTGGGGAAGAGTCCTAAAAGGCAAATTATACCTCACAGTTTGCTCCATCTGGAGGCAAAAGAGTTGGGCCTTTGTACGCCTGTACCCCTTGATCATTGGCTAAGGTCGGCCATGGGTACTGAAAACAACAGATACCTCCTGCTCTCTGAGCTTGCAGACAAAGCAGCCACAGTACTCAAGGGCAGCCTTCCATGGGTTCAGGCCACTAGATACAAAATCATAAGGAAGCTGGGGTAGGGATGCTGGCTAGAAAACAGAAATTGCAAAAAGGAACCCAGGGCATCTGTGTGCAAAATGTCAGTGCCCATTATAACACCACAGTTTCAACCAGTATGACAAATTTCAAATCTGTTTCATTATCGCAGACCTAACCCTTGAACTCCAGACCCATATACCTGTCCATTGGACCTTCTCCTTGTCAATCAGGCTCCCCAAATACACCTTCTCCAAAACGAGGCTCACATATTTATCCTCATGTTTTGCTTTTCTCAGTGAATATCACTTTCATACCCTAATGGGCCAGTCCACAAAATTCAACTCACTTTGCCAGATACCTCATCCTTAATTCACCACGTCCTCCCGATTTTATCTATTCAATATATCTCTGATCTATCCCTGACTACCATCCCCAAGTCCCAGCTTAGTACTCTCCTCAATGTTCTCGTTTCCTCACTGTGCCCCCAATAATTCATCTTCCATCAGACTACCTTGGATTATCACTCTCATATTTAAATCTTACTATGGCACTCCTCTGTTTAAAATCTTTCAATGGCTTCTCAGTTTGCAGCTTAAAAAACTAAATACTTGGTGTTTCAACTTCCTGTTCTAATTCCTACTTTTCCAGCACCATCGTCCACCATTAAAATCCTAAATTCAAGACACACTTAACAATTTGTAGATACCCAAAGTTGTCTTGTTCTCTTATTCTTGAAGCAATCAATGAGTAACTTTCATCTTTCAGTACTTGGCTCCCACATCAGATCTTCTGAAGACTAGCTTGTCAATCCCTTTCCATCAGGCTGATTAACCTCCCCTATCGTTCCCCACTACAGCCTGTGCATATTCTCATGGTATATCTGTTTACACCTAGATTGCTGGATGATTAGATTTTAAAGGACAGAAATACTGTGTTCATCCAGGGCCTGCTTTACACATCGCCTGATGTTCTAACTCTTGCCCTTTTGTCCATCTTTGGCCCCTTATCCATGATCAGGCAATATATTGCTGTATTTGGGTATTTGGTACCAGTGATACAAAGGTAAGTAAGGCTGGGTCTCTGGTTGCAGTCTAACAGGGAAGATTTTCATTTTTGAGATGGTTCAAATATAATCCTATGATGAGTTCTGAGTTAGGGGGCTCTACCGGGTACTATGAGTTTCAAAAAGAAACAGCCTAACCTAGGGGCTCAGGGAAGGCATGCTAAGGAAAATCATGCCTGGGGTGCCTGGGTTGTTCAGTTGGTTGGGTATCTGACTTTGGCTCAGGTCACGATCTTGAAGTTTGTGAGTTCGAAACCCCATGTTGGGCTCCGCGCTGACAGCTCAGAGCCTGGGAGCCTGCTTTGGATTTTGTGTCTCCCTCTCTTTCTACCCCTCCCCTGCTTCCTCATGTTCTCTCTCTTTCTCTCTCTCTGTCTCTCTCTCTCTGTCTCTCTCTCTAAAAAATAATGGATAAACGTTAAAAAAGAAAAAAAAAAGAAGAAGAAAATGATGCCTTAGCGGAATTTCAAAGGAGGAATAAAGGTTAGCCAGGGAAAGAAATGTGATTCCTCCAGATGTTTCTAGTTCGGCTTAAAGTCAGCAGTATTATCAACCAAATGTGCCTTGTCCTTAAATGTTACCAAAGACACAACCAGCCAGTTTGGAAAAGGACAGTAAAATGATAGGCCTTTCTCATCAAAAGTCTGCATGGTTTTACCACTTTGTTGCATTGTTTCTGAGTCTTTGTGAAGTTAAGCATCAAGTAAGCCTATGAATGTATTTAATAGACTCTGCTTACTGTAAACATTTTCTGGAATAAAGTTTATTTCCACTCATTCTAGATTTTACTGGGATTAAGCAAATAGCAGGCAAACTTTATATAGCTGGTTTTGCACTGCCTTTTTAAAGGTATCACCACAGTCCAAAATGTTTGCAAGGTTTTTTTTTAAACATTATTGCAATAGGGTAAATTTTTATTATTATATATGGAAGCTAATCATTTCCGAGTAAACAACAGATGTTTGCACCCTTATTACTGTTTGGTACTGACATCGGTATTAAAAGATAATATGAAAACATGTCACAGACGTGAATGATGAATTCAAATGTCAGGAATGGAGGAAAAGAAATGTTTAAAATAGAAAATTTAAGGGTCTTGGATAAGAAGTAAAACTATGAGCACCTTCTTCAGGCAATGTACAATACTACCTTTCCACAGAACAATAATAACCTGGAAAATTCCAAGGCACATTTCCCTTCAAAGAGTTATCACTGAAGTATAGGTAATTAAAATGCTCTCTTGATCTATTAAATAATATCACCTGACAAAAAATTCAGTTGTGTCAAAATAAATTTATCAGATCTTATGTATATAGATAAACAAATAGACGGATTGCTAGATAGATGCTTTCATGTTGTATACAATATTTTCTGGACATTGGTTGGTATGTTTCTAGAAACCCAAGTTCATATATTTAGATTTTAGTTGATTTATCTTATATGCAGTTGTAAATTATATTGTTAATTTAAATGATTACAGTGCTTTCTGAGAATATAATTCTGCTAAGACATTGTGCCTACCAAAATGGGTTAGTTTTCATCCAGTAAAGATTGTTACTAATCTTTTTTTTTTATTCATGTGGCTACAAATATTGATGCATTTCACTAAATCAAAGATTCTTTTTTCTCATCATTAAAAATCATCAGGACTGAGGAAATGAGACAGCAAAGACTTTACCTCTGCGGCACAGATTCTGTCTCCTCTGACTGGAAGGTAGGCTCCATATAACTGTGCATCTTATCTGTCTTAAGTGTTATATCCTCAGTGCCTGTGATAAGGCTCAGTACCTAGGAAGATGTACAATATATATTTGTTGAATGAATGAATGACACAATAGTAATAACATTCAGAGTTTTTAGGCTTCCTTTAAAACAATATTACCTTCAGTATAGTATTGAAACTTTCAAGACATTGAAAGTATATTAGAAATCATAATTGTTCTATCGATAAAAAAATTTTGAAATAATAACAGTATTAATGAAGAGGTTAAAAAGTAAGTTGAGTTCACATTCATATTTGCTCCAGAGGTAAATGAGCATTGATGACAGCCCCCTGTTGACCACAGAGGAAAGCCAAGGAGGCAGTTGGCCCATTTTCTCCTCCACAACTGTTGATTCTTTGGCTAGAGTTCTCTAGAGTAGGCTGTGAAAAACCAGAATTGTTTATTTCCCAGGAGAATTAGTAAAGATGAAATGACTTAACTTCAAAGTATAAAGAAATTGTTAGTGCTGGATGAAGGGTTGTGACCCTGACCTAGAAAAATGGGGTCAGGGTCTAAGGCTTGGCTTTCTTATACATGTGCTTCTGTGTTTCTTCTCAGATTTTGGACTTGACTCTTGAAAATACACATTCTTGGCCACAACATAAACTACAATAAAAGAAAGTGACTGAATCTTTCTAATTCCATGTCTAACATACTTGTCAATAATATGGGCTCTAGAAGAATAGCACAGGGTGAGAATCTTCACTTGAACTCTGACAAGCTGGGTGACCTTGGGTAGCTTCCATAACTTTGTTGTGCCTCTTTATTACCTGTGAAAATGAGAACAGTAATAGATCTCACTCCATGGGTTGTTGTGAGAAGAGTCAGTGATCAATTAGCACACAAGAAGTAGTTGCGCTAAAGCAGCAACAGAATAGAATATGACAGTTATTGTTTGGCCACAAAGGGTGAGAGCCTCATGTAGGGAATCAACCTCCCTCCCTCCACATCCCTCACATTGGCTGAACAGGGTGTGAAAGCTGAGGCTATTAAAACAAGGAAGGACATTTTTCATTTGCAGGAAATGAAGGCAAAGGAACTAAAATGTATCATTTCCCTACTTATGTCATGCACTTACCATACTTTTCTTAATGTAATCTTCACAATAAATCTAAAGGTCATTATCGTTTTTCTATTTACACATTCAAGAATTTGAGGCTGAGAGAGGTCAAGTAACTTGCCAGCTCCCAGTCCTGGTACATGGTAAAGCTAAGACTCAAACTCAGGTCCATATTGATTGAATAATGCCCTGTGCTGCTCTTCGTCACAGGCCCCTGCCCACCCACATACGGTCCCAGCTACTAGACTAAAACACTTCTGGCAACCACGGGAACAATGTGGCCCAACCACTCCTCCACCTACAGCTGCAGAAATAGTTTGAGTAGGGAGCCTCAGTGGAACAAGGACTGAGTCTCCTCCACCCGCTGACCACTTGGGGGAAGGTAACAATTTCTTAAACCAGTGCTTCTCAAAAGTGAACATGCCCCGGAGCCCCCTGTGAATTACAGGCTCTGGCTGAAGAATGGCACGCAGGATTCTGTATTTCTAAAGCCTCCCCATAATTCTGATGCTGCTAGCCCCGAGACCGTGCTTTGGGTAGCAAAAATAAGCTGTCTCATGTGTGAAAAACAAAAATCAGTTTTATACAGTGCCTGTTTACGATGGCATGCTTTGGTGGGATCTAATGTAAAACATAAGAAAGTTTTTTAAGTAATAGGGATTCATGTCCTTCTCAAATAAATTTACTTTCCCAAATCAACTGATTTACTTGACTGGTACAGAAGGGTCACTCACCAGTGAGGAAAAAAAACAATTGGGAAGAGCCTGCAAAAATATGAGAATGAGGGAGAGGCATAATATGATACATTAAGACAAACGTATGGACACCTATCTCCTCAAGCCCCTTCAAAATAAAATTCATTGGTTTATCATTATTATATACCTCTTTCAGCTATAGTGTCTGGCTTAGATACTCTCACATAGAAAGTTGCACCATGAGCTGAGGTATAGGAAGCTATATGCAGATATGTAGGTAGAAAAAAAAAAATACAATCCTCCTCTCTAGTCCCTAAATACCTACATGAGAAAATAATCCAGGCAAGTTAAAAAGAAACACACACATGTTCTTTCTAACTCCTCTTCTTTCCTTAAAGGAGAGGGAATGTCCCCTCTATTTCCTAGGAGGAGAAAGGTCCAAGGGGACCCATGCAGCCTTCACATTTAGGTCTCAGGAGAGGGGGAGCAATTTCTCTGAAGATACATTCAGGAGAAAGCTCAGCATTTTTCTCCTTCAGGTCTGCTGACAACAGGGAGAATGTCTAGGTCCACCCTCCTGTGAGTCAAGAGACCCTAGCCCTACTAGGGAGGCCTGCAGGTATGTGACATTGCCTGAGAGGGGTGGGAGGTTTATTTACTGAGTGGTGTTTTGAGTGGCTCACCTGTTAGACCCGATTTTCCACCACTTACCAGTAATAAAGCTGGCATTTCAGCTCCATCCAGCTGCCTCGAATACCTATCATTTGTTTACTTACTTATCTAGTATTGAAGTATAATTGGCATACAGTGTTATACTAGTTTGAGGCGTACAATCAAATACCTATCTTTTAATTGATTCTAAACTTAGGAGAGCAAGAAGCTTTTATTTATTGGCTTCCTCGAGAATCCTAAGCACAGCTAACTGGAATGGGGAAGCTTGGTAGACAAGGACCCAATATGATTTGGAAGGAGAGGCAGCCATCACTGACATATTTGGAACATGTCAAATAAATGCTGCTTTTACTACTGAATGACTCATTAGATGGGCTAATTAGTTGATTTTTTTTTCCAAATAGCTTTGTGTACAAGAGACATTTTCTAATCCTTTTTATGTAGACAACTTTGCTTTGGAGAACATGGGAGTGTTGGAGAAATACTGCTAGAATTAAAGTTTGGATTCCTGATAGTGCAAATGACCTATTGCATGACCTCTGGCAAAAGCTATGCAAACAGTGGAAACCAGAAGAGATTGTTGATTGAATTATCATCCTTCTGACTTAATTTTTTAATCTGCATGTGTCTAGGCTCTTGAGATTCTTGGAACAGAGAAGTTAAATGACTTCTATATATTCTATTCCAAATGCATTAATTTCACTGAGACTATGAACTATATCTGTTAAATTTCTTACCACCTTTCTTTTGATAGAAAATAGCCTTCTGTTGCATTTACTCTATTCTTAATATATTCTGATATTCATCTGCTCTTCTTTCCATTAATATTTCATTCAAATTGCAAGGTGACATCATTGTTTACATACCGGTATTTAAACATCTTTCCTGGGGAATATTTTCCCTTTTTATTGTTTAAACAAGGTAGCAAGCAGATGAACTTAAATTCAAGCTGAAGATAAGTTTTACATACATGTTTTTATTCTACTGAACACCAGATACAACCCAAACTAAATATAGCCCCCAAAGTCCAAAATGCAAAATATAGGAGGAGGAAAAATACTTATTCTCCATTAAGCGTACTTGAGCCTTTGACTGGACAAAATTTAGTATTCATGACATTTTCCACATAGAAAATATGGGATGAATTTGACATTTAAAAATATACTGTTCCCCTCCAGAATCCACTTCTGCAAAGCACCAGTGGCTCGAGGGACAATCTTTAAAATAGCAATTTATTTCCTGATTTCTTTTTCAGAATTATGATAAAATTGTGAAAATAAATGCTAGAAACCTTCAAGTTGAAACTTACTCATTGAAAAATAACATAACATGTCTCCATTGTCAAAATGTGTTTAAAAGGGAAGAGCTTAATGGTTTCTCGTTTTAGCAACCCAGATGTTTGTTGTCAGTTTATCCTATTATTATTAATAGGAATCTAATTGATATTAATTCTTCAACAACTAGGTTAGCGCTTTCTCACTGTTTAACTTATTCTCTATAGTTGCCACATTTAACTGTTTTTTTTTTTAAATTCCCTCCAGTCAAATTCTACCTGACCTTGTCATCTGTAAAGATAAGCTGCAAAGATAGCAACTTTGTTTAGAAATACATTTTACCAAGCTTAAATGCTATTAAAGTCTCCTCAGCTAGCAAAGAGCAAGCCACACTTCATTTTTTAGATAGCTCACATTGTTTTCCATAATGTAATGACTAGAACTTGGGATGTTTAAATGGTACTTCACGGTGCAGACGTGGTCTAAACTTCTTCGTGATTATACATATGCTTTTCTATGGTGCACACTAATCTCTTCTGCCTTGGGTGTTTTAACAAAATGGCTGAAATTTTCAGCCATTATGGATGAGTTATTCAGCAAATCTGTAAAAGCAATTCCACTTGACAAGCCTATAGTACTACTTTAAGTGATTGAATCTCTTTGATTCCACAATGGCAAGGTCCTTATTATTCTTGCAGGAATTTTACAAGTTCTAAGAATATTTCCAAAATGCCACTAGCCACATTGCCAAAGAGAGACAGGCAATTCAGTCAGAACTATACTAATTTGATTTAGGGAACCCAGTTAAAGCAATGATTTCTTTTAGGGAAAAAAAAAAAAACTACTTGTTATACTTTATACCCATATGCGTTGATCTTTTATTAGATTGAGTGTCTTAAAGTTCAGTCCATAACGCGGCCTTATTCTCTTGCTTAAATTTATTTTCTAGTCAATGAATGGAACCCACAGAATAGGTGAGGTCATGAAACTTATTTATCTGAAACACTGAATTGTATACATCCCTTAAAGGCAAAGGGATGTTTTTTGCCCTGAGGGTATTAGTCATGGTCCATAGTTCGTGGGAAAAACTAAGGAAGTCTCAAAATTGTGTTCCTATTATTTCCATTTCTCTAAGACTTTGTTTGAATTCCAAAGTGAATTTTCTATTATCCCATTGTACATTGCATAGGAGGGTACCAACCAACAGGCTTTGGGGAGCAACACCTGCAGTTACATTCAAAGGCATGACTTTTCCAAGCGTTTGTGAGCTGGCCGGCATTGTCCCCAAAAGGATAAAGGCCTAGGTTCTTTACCTGACTGGCAGAAGCATTCCAGCACCACGAAAGGACTCTAAACATTGTTTTGTAAGTAATGAGTCCTGCTGGTTTCATCCTGCAAGACATTGAAATCCCACAGGGAAAATGTGGTTGGAAATAAAACAGAGGGCTGGGGCCTTTAATGAGTTTCCTATCCACAGATGCCATCAAGCTTTTATACTATTCATTTTATTTCCACAGCTTCAACAAAGATTCCCAGAGCTGTGGGCCATACTCTTAACACTGAAGTGCATAGAACTTGGCAGAAATCTACACTTCAGAGATAATAACATATCATTCCATGAAATAAAGGAAAAGGCATAATCAAAAAAAGAAGTTAAATATGGAAACCTGTTTTGACAACAAAGAAATACAGATGAAGCCAGACAGGAAAGGTGTTATGTATGCATGTTTTTTTTCATGGTTCACATAAATTACGATATTGTAAGAACATATCAAGTTTTCTGTTTTCTTTTTTCAAATACTTTAAGTCAGATAGATTATTTATATTGTTCTCCATCTTACACCAAAGAAAAATTTCAAAGACTAGTGCTTTATATGAACAGAACAGTTGCTAAATCTATCAAAAATATATATGGCTCATTCCTCAATTGAATTGTATTAACTATTATAGTTGAAGATGCCTCTAAGTCACTTGGATGTCCAACAAAAGGATATGAGACTTTCTGAATTAAAAAATATAGGAAAAATGAAAAGCCATTGTTACTTAGTAGATGGAAATTACCAGTGGAAATAATATTCATCAAATATATTTTGTTAATAAAGATAATTACTGAGACATAAAAAGTTTCCCTGAAATTTGCACTGGGGGAAATATC